TAGATTTTTAAGGATCTACATTTTGTAATTGATATTCATGCTAAAGTAGTTGGCCTTGATTCTGTTCTCCTTGAGAATGTGGGTTATGTTATAAACACATTAAGAGTTACAAATAGATTAGGGAAGGAAGAAATTATTTCATTGTCAATAATGAGATGATATAATTTTGTGTATATGTAAAATTTCAATCAAAGCACTCTAATAAAAACTAAAAAGCCTGTAAGAGTGAGATCCATATTAAGAATGGTCTTTAAGTAACATGGGCTGCTTTGTTGTAGCATATTTGGGCTCTGCTATGAGTTAAAGGCCCATTTTGCTTCTGTTTTCTCGTTTGTCTTCCAAGTTCTGGCAATTTAATTAGAGTTTTAGAACAAGTAGGAGCTCCCAATGAATGGGTCGTCCCTGTTATAAGGTGGTCACTACCTGCTAACTGAAAATTGCAAGGCTTATCTTGAACATGAAAGAAACATGGAGCCACAATTTAAAGTAAATAGGACACAGCTTTCTGCATGGATATGGGAAATCCAGTCTTCCTGTGGTCTTAACAAAAGCTGGACCAAAATATCTGGGTAACCCAGAGACATTAATCGTATTACACTAGTTCAAAGGTTTTTGAGGAAGGGGTGGGGAAAAAAATCAATCTTTGCTAATAAAATGTTTTTTTCGGGAAGAAATTCAATTATGATTTTTCTTCTGAAGTGGAATCAGTGTTTGGAAAAACTATAGACAGCCTATTTCCCACTTTTCTTCAGTCCTCTTCTATTTTCTCTTGTGATTTTTCTGACTTGGGAGGCATTTTTCGGTTGATGTAAAATGCAAACTGAAATGTCTTCCACTCTTCTTCTCCTCTGGCCATTCGTCCCCTTTCCAAAGGCAACGAATGTGGTCAGTTTCATGTGCATCTTCTCTGGCATGTGGAAGTGTTTTATCTCCAATCCCTTCCTCTCTAAGCTATTGTATTAAAAGAGTTCAATCAAGTTAATCACTTCTTTTAGTAAATCACACAAACTGTCTGTATTCCCTTTTCAGAATTTATCGCAACTTCCCCACTTCCAGGTGCTGAGTGTCACACGCATCACAAAACATATTTAGGAGTGTTGTTTTTTTCCCACGTGAGGGCACTGCTTACTTTCATCATAATGTGATCAGTTTATGATTTGGGAGTTGATTCCAGTGGCATTTTTGCATCTGTTGTACATAAGTGCCCAAATACTTGGCTGGCTCTTCTGCCTCTTTATCCAGCTCTACTCACCTTCTGTATCATAAAGGTGAAAAGATCCCAGCAGTAAACTGTATTAGTGCATTTTCACACTGCTATAAAGAAACAGCCTGAGACTGGGCAATTTATAAACAAAAGAAGTTTAATTGACTTCCAGCTTCACATGGCTGGGAGGCCTAGGAAAACTTACAATCATGATAGAAGGTGAAGAGGAACATGGTGGCAGGAGAGAAAGAGAGAGAAGGGGAACACACCATACACTTATCTAACAACCAGATCTCACGAGAACTCACTCATTATCATGAGAACAGCAAGAGGGGAATCTGCCCCCATGATCCAATCACCTCCCACCAGATCCCTCCGTTGACGACTGGGGACTTCAATTCAAAATGAGATTTGGGTGGGGACACAGAGCCAAACCATATCCATAACCAACTCTGGTTTCAGGCTGAGCACCCTGAAACAGCAGTGCTCGTTTATACTGAGAGTAGAGCTCCTATTTCTGAAACTCCTCAGAGTGGGACCCTTGCAGTGACTTTGTTGCAGTTCTTCTGGCCGGTGGGTCCCTGTTGGAGTTTGCCTTTTGTTTTCTATGCAGAACACACTTCTGCTTCCCCGCACTGTGGCTATTTCCCAATTTCTCCTTGCTTTTCAAATCTGTCAACCCTCATCCTGCCTGTCTCATTAACTTCACTGCGACCTCATAGTTGTAGAGGGAACACCATCATCTTCCTGTGACCAGATAGACAAACCTGCCTGTATCTGCTCCCATTCACTTCTCTTTCCTTCTGTTGTTCCACTTCTATCTTTTGCCACATGCATCTCTCCTTTTTATGGATAATCAGTAAAATGAGTAAGATTCTGTCTAGAAGCCTCATCTTTAAACAAAACTCACCACGCTGAACTCAGCTTCCCAGTAACTACCACCTATTCTTCCAGCTGTCTCACCTGTCCTTCTACATTGTCTTCTACTTGCTCCCCCATCTGATCTATTCTCCGTTTAAGCAACTGGGACAATCACTTAAAATGATCAAGTCAGACAGGTGCGGTGGCTCACACCTATAATCCCAGCACTTTGGGAGGCTGAGGCAGGCAGATCACCTGAGGTCAGGAGTTTGAGACCAGCCTAGCCCCTCTACTAAAAATACAAAAATTAGCTGGGTGTGGTGGTGTATATCTGTAATCCCAGCTACTCAGAAGGCTGAGGTAGGAGAGTCGCTTGAACTTGGGAGGCAGAGGTTGCAGTGAGCTGAGATTGCGCCACTGCACTCCAGCCTGTGAGACAGAACAAGATTCCATTTCAAAAAAAAAAAAAAAAACAGATCAAGTCAGATCATTTATCTTCTTTGCATTTTAAACCCATTCAGGCTGGACATGGTGGCTTACACCTATAATCCCAGCACTTTGGGAGGCTGAGGCAGGAGGATCACTTGAGTCCAGGAGTTCAAGACCAGCCTGGATCTTGTCTCTACAATAAATAAATAAGTAGACCCATTCAAAGACTCCCCTTTGCACTTTAGATAAAACCCATTTTCCATCTGCTGCTTTCCAGGAGGGCACTTGTGTCTTCACCTCCTGCCTCACTTCTAGCCTCTCACACCCTTGCCCACTCTTCTGTGGCCACAGTTTTTCCTCCAGTTACCCAAATGCATGAAATTCTCTCCACCCCTGTGCCACCCTCTTGGCATTTTTCTCTGGAGGTCTCACTCTACAGCCCCTGGAGTGGCCGCACTTTCTCATCCTCTTGATCTCATCGTCACCTCCTGAGGGGGTCTTCACCAGGAAGTCCACGCAGGTCCGTGGCCCCACAATCATGTTTGTTCCTGCATAAGGCTTCATGGCTTGTTAATATTTACGTGTTTCATATCCAGACAGTTTCTAAGCCCTGTAAGGGCAAGGGCCATGTCTGCTTTGCTACCCACTGGGCACATGATAGGATATCTGGCACATAATAGGCATTCATTTCAGGGCCATTTGCTGAGACATGTGAATGAGTGAATGAAAGCTGGCATGCAGCTCAGCTTGGGTTTGTCTTTTCCTTTAGGACACAGAGCCAACCTCTCTGTTGTGCTTCATGCCCCTTTAGAGCCACAACGTTGTGGAGATTGAGGAGATCTTGGAGGGCTTCTCCCTCACATTTCCGCCATTCAAGCTCCATCTCCCATCCTCCAGGGTTTCAGAGCAGCTCAGGCCCAGCCTTGGGTTCAGGGGGTCTTTTGCTGTCAGTCTCGGCTTGTCAAGGGATACACCTGTTTTGCTTTCCTCCCATCCCCTTTGGGAGCGGGATTATGGTGCAGTGGCTTAGGGTGTCTGGAGCCAGACTACAGGGGCCTGAATCCTGGCTTACTGGTGGTGTGACCTTGGACAAGGTACTTAATTTCTGTGTGCCTCGGTTTCCTCACATGTCAAGTGGGGTTAATGACCACATGCAGCTGTGACAGTGATTCAGTGAGTAAATGTACCTAAGGCACTTGTCATGAAGATAGTCAATACGTGTTGGCCATCCATCTCTCTACCCTCTGCCTTCTGCTCATGAACTCCATGCATTTAGTTGTTTCAGGCTCTCCCCAGCACCCACGTAGTGAGAATAGTCAGCTACTCTCTTCAGTCCCTTTAACTTATTCCCCTTCTCACTCTTACTTTCTCCTTTTCCCCTTTTTCTAATTCAGTGATTTTTAAAAAATCTTTTGGGGGTCACAGGCTCTTTTGAGGATTTAAAGAAGAGTACTTATGGACTGTTGCCTTAGGAAAACTCAATATTTGTGCAGTAACCCAAAATGAGCACACAATTCAGATATCCACAGATGCCTTGGAATCTCTCTGCGGCCCCCTGGATAGAGCTCCCGTTACGAACAGCTGCATCTCTCTTGTCTTCTTTGGTGCTGTGGGCCGAAGGTATTCCACTCTGAGAACTAGAACCGTCCCTTCACGAGTATTCAGGAAACAAACCTCAGAACACAGCTAGAAAAGTCTCTTTTCAGAAGGTGAAATCATGATACCATTTCTGCGTGTATCCAACACGATACTAAACTGGTATATGCATAAAGTGATTACTTATATCTTATAATACAACTTGTGATTGCTACTCATTGGGGACATATGGGAATGCCAGGCTAGTTTAAGTGAGGAAAAATTTGAATTAATCAAATATATGTCTGTGTGTTTTAAGCCCAGTTTCTTCTCAAGTTGTAAGGTAAGAAAACATGATATATGTGTGCCAATGGTGATAGTAACAGCCAACTATTTTTTAGATAGATGTTCTTTTGGACATAGTTTTATACATATGTGTAAAGTATAAATAAGTACAAATAAGTTATTATAAAGTAAAATAAGCAATTATTGTGGCTGTATTAATTACCAGTGTACAAAAAGTGCTGCAGAAATAGTCTACATAACAATATATTCCTTGAAGGGGGCTAAATATTCCTTCAGCAAATATGTTCACTTTCTAAATTGGTTAGTAAACTGTTTTATAGAGGGGATACCAAGGTATACTTAATGCTGGTCATGGATTAGAGGGTCAAAATTGATACGGTTGAAAAATTAAGACAAAAACAAAGAAGGAAATCGTGATGGTTTATTGTGATGATTGTTTCTGGGCTGGGCTGTCACTGAACAAACAAGGGCTCCCTGATCCCCTGGGCTGACTGGTAGGTGATGGAGGTCTCGGCGACGTTGACCCGAAGGCAGTGCCTGTGAAGGATTGCTCAAAGCTTCCATGTTCCCAGGGCTTAGGAATGCTCCGTCTTAAATAGTATTTTTAAAATTATATTTTCTCCAGGATTAAAATCACCAACGGAACCTTCCAAGGAGACCAACTGAGTGGAAATAACCTTCAGTAACTGCTAATGGGAATTGGATTTAAAACCATCAGCTTAAAATAAAAAAGCTCATGTCTCCTGAACCGCTATCCAGCCGGGTAAATTGTTTTTTAGTGTGGAATTTTGTACACTTAAATCATGGTGTATGCATGTGGTCAGCGCTGCTTTTCTTTTAAGTGGGCTTGTTTATTTAAAAGACTCGAAAATGAGAAGTTGTTTTGCTTACTCAGTTGGGGTTTATTGTAAAACTCGATGCCAGAAAAAGAAAAAAGTACTGTTTTTATGCTGCGAGTGTGTGAAGTGTGTCCTTTCCAGAGAAAGGACAGTCATGGTGGTTTTTTTTTTCTGTGTTCAAAGAAGGAAAGCTCTGAGGGCCAGCAGGAGGCTTTGTGAGGGATCTGGGGTTATGAACGCTAATCATGCACTGACCAGTGGTTTCAAAAACAGGAATGCCCAGTATACGTTTTTACTTTTATTCCTTGGCAGTAATTAAAATAATACTAAAATGAAACAAGAGCTGAAGAGCAATGTGGGAATTGTTCGTGCTGGTAGATGATATTCGTTATTAAAAGGGTCAGTTTGATAGCCATGTCGGAGACGCTGTAGTTTCACCCTGCTCTATGCTATGGAGTGTCATGAGTGAAGGTCGTGCTCGGACTGCTACGGGTAGTCCAAGTAGCATCAAAGCAGCTGAACAAGTCTTGAGATCCCATGTGGTACATCCAGCCAACACCCATGGAGTCATAGACCCATCACTCAGAAAGACCCTTCCCTGGAGGCTGAGCCTCATCTTAATCTGCAAATGAGGAAAAGGAGAGGGGTCTAGAGAGGCAACATGGCTTGCCTAAGATCACACAATTGATCTGTGACAGGGATACACAATTTTCTTACAAAAGTGAGACTGTAATCACACCAGAAATCTTAGAAAATTATCCTGATCCACCACAGTTTGTTTATTTTATTTATTATTTTTTGGACAGGGTCTCCCTCTGTTGCCCAGACTGGAGTGCAGTGGTGTAGTCATGACTCACTGCAACCTCTGTTTCACAGGTTCAAGCAATCCTCCTGCCTCAGCCTCCCAAGTAGTTGGGACTACATGTGCACACCACCATGCCTTACTAATTTTTGTATTTTTTGTAGAAATGGTATTTCACCATGTTGCCCAGGCTGGTCTCAAACTCCTGAGCTCAAGCAATCTGCCCGCCAATGCCTCCCAAAGTACTGGGATTACAGGCGTGAGCCACTGTGCTCCGCAAGTTTATTTTTTTAACTGTGATTTAAATCCTCCTAAGTGCAGCCCAGTTATCCTCTCAGGAATCTTTCTAGGCTTCCCGCCCCCTCAGGTTGGGCTCACTGGTCGTTTGTTTTATTCTCCTTTGCACTTTGTAGAAATGGAGTAACTACGAGAAATATTAATCGTCCCTCCTCCTGTTTTTGCAACCAGTTGTTTTTCACTGAACGGTCTGAAAGTGCTGTTTTAATTGTTTTGGTAAACCTGGGCCGTGGAGGTATCAGGTGATGACAGTAGGTTCGAGCTTAGAGCCTGTGGGCATTTCAGTTCTCTGACAGTGGAAACCTGTTCTGAGCCAGGTTGACACAAGTGAAGAAACCTGCACTGCTGGCCAGGTGCGGTGGCTCATGCCTGAAATCCAAGCACTTTGGGAGGCCAAGATGGGCGGATCACAAGGTCAGGAGATTAAGACCATCCTGGCCAACCTGGTGAAACTCTGTCTCTACTAAAAAAAAAAAAAAAAATACAAAAACTAGCTGGGCTTGGTGGCACGTGCCTGTAATCCTAGCTACTCAGGATGCTGAGGCAGGAGAGTAGCTTGAACCAGGGAATCAGAGGTTGCAGTGAGCCGAGATTGTGCCACTGCACTCCAGCCTAGCGACAGAGCAAGACTCCATCTCAAAAAAAAAACACAAAAACCTGCACTGTTAATGTCGACCACCCGGAGACAGACAGGCCCTTTGTTCTGCTACTGGCTAAAACATTATAGGAATCAGAATGAATAATCTTTGTGAACCCTAAAGTGTGCTACCTGGACAAACAAACAACCTGGACAAGAACCTGAGATCAGTGAGATTCCAGGCTTTTTTTTTTTTTGGAGACAGGATCTCACTCTGCTATCCAGGCTGGAGTGCAGTGGTGCAGTCATAGCTCACTGCAGAGTGAAATCTCTGGGCTCAAGTGATCCTCCTCCCTCAGCCTCCTGAGTAGCTTGGACCCAGGGTGTAAGCCACTGAACCTGGCATGATTCGATTTTTACATTTAATTTTTCTATTAAAATATGTCTATTAAATATGCCTACTTCTATTAAAAATAAGCATACAAACACATATAGAAAACAGTATTTTGAACATCTGTATACCCACCAGTCAGCCTAATTAAAATCTTTTTGATATTTTCTATTTCTAGCCTAGCTGGAGCCCACTGATATGAATTGGATGTTTATCACTCTTGAGGTTCTAAATTTAACTCTTTGGGGCCTCACTCAATGCAAGGGCCTGCGTTTAATGGGACAGGAGCGGTATCTTGCAGCGGTAAAATCGTAGTTTTTTTGTGAGACCACTATAATGATTTGAAATGTGTCAGTGAGATGGGTCTGCAGAGAGCTGAAGTGTTTCATATCCTAGATTCCTGACTAGTTGGGATTTCCCCAAGGGGTAAGAAAGTATGGTGGTCACTGAAGGTCACTCATCAAGGTAAACCTCAGACAGACACAGTTTGAAGAAATGTGTGGTTTAGGAGTAGTGCTTTCCAAATTTTTTTTATTGTAACCCAACTTAAGCAAATTTTCTATTGTGACCCTGGACACATACGTGCCACTGCCACACACACACACACACACACACACACACACACACACACCTCTGAATAAGAAGTTTTAAGAAATGATTATTATACTTATTATTTATTTCAGCTGCCTTGCAATAACATCTATTTTGTTTTGTTGTTTTTACAAAAGCTATTTTGTTCCAATAAATTGATTTCACATACCATTAGTAGATAGGCACCCACAGTTTAAAAAAACAAACCAAACCAAACCTGGTTTAGTGAACTGTTACTTGTTTCATGGAGCAAAAATTTCTAAAAGGTATATACTCTGCTGAGTATTTTTATAAAAAGCTTTTCTCTACAACTGACCTCAGCTTAAAGATCTATGCCGCAACTTACTAATAATGAATCCCATGTAAAACTAAGCAGAATTCACAACTCCTTTGGGGTTCAGGTTATTCTGTCATGAGACTTCTCCTTAAAGCTCCTAACCCTCCTCAACCATTGCTTTAAGGCAGCCTGACTAGATTAAGTAAACAGAACTTGAACACAGTGACTTAACTATACTTTATAAATTCATGATTGTTAAGCCACAAAATCAATCTTTCCAAATAAAACTGAGTGTAAGTCAAACTGCCAAGTGAAAAAGAGCAGCTATGGAGCTCTCAACTCTCCCTTTTGTCATAGTTTATCTCTGTACAATGTCAGATAAAGGCCAGATGAGGAACAAAGTGATGGTGACTGTTGCTTTATACTCATTAAATTTCATCTGTTTCTGTGGGACCATGCCGCCATCCTCCTCACCCGAGGTGCCTGATAATGATCGCCCTAGCAGGGGATTATAAGGCACCTTTGTTCAAAAGAAGTTTATAGAATTGGACTCAGAAAGGTACAGCTTGCCCTCCAGGGAAGCAAAGGAGAAAATTATATTTAATGCATATTAAACAAATAGTTGTTGGATATTATGAGCTAGATGGATCCCAAGATCCCAAAATGCTTGAGTCAGCTTGCTCCAAAATGTTACCAGCCAGCCACTTTAAACATTAATGAGGTAGCTGGTTTCTAAAATCTGGAAGAAGGAGGAGGTTTTATTTAAGCCAGCTATTTCACAGAAGAGGAAATACAGTTCTACCTCAGGAAATTTAAATGAGACTGTTGAATAATTGGGAAAGAACCTCTCCTGTGGATGAGAGGGCAAAGAATTCAGCTGATTTTAAGCCAAATAAGAAATGGGACAGCTGTGCTTTTTTGTGTATGTATTTGTGTATGTGATGGTGTATAATTTCTAGAAAAGCAGTTCTCAGGGATTTGGGTCGTAAAAATTTCCACTTTTAAAAATTATCGAGAACGCCAATGAACTCTTGCTTATGTGGGCTGTATCTCTCAAGTTTTACCATTTAAAAAATTGAAACTAAGAAATTTAAAAATATTTATTGATTCACAAAAAATGAACCTATGCTATATTAACATAAAATATTTTTATTGAAAACATTGTTTTCAAAAAGTTATTGAGAACGGCATTATTGTTTTATATTTCTGCAGATCTCTTCACTACGGCACACTTTGAGAGCCGCTGTCCTGAAAAGTAGCTTGGAAGACGATGTTAAGAGTGGCTGTGCAGGAGTGGTGAGATTATTCACGATCCTGTTTTTTTTTTTTTTCTTTTCATTAGTATTTATTTCTGCAAGAAGATGGATTACTTGTGCAAAGTAAAGATGAGAAAGAAAGAACATACTCATGTTGAGGAAAGATTATGGAGGCCCCGAAAGAACCCAGGCAGAGGAGTTTACACTTGGGAGACCAAGGAACCACTGCCATTTCTTAAATGGGAAAGTGAATTGATAAGAGCTGTGTTTGGGAGTAAGTGGATTAGAATTGAGAGAGAGAAGGAGAAATGCTACTTCAGAGGAGTGGTGTGGTGGGTCAGACCTCAGGTGTCAGTGGAAATGGAGAGAAAGGGACAAACTCTAAAGACTTTGAAGGCAGAATGACCTGAGACCTGGGTATAGGGAATAAAGGAGAGCGCAGAGACAAAGACAGCAGTTTTCAAATTAAAACATTTGAAGAATGTTTTTTCCCTTCTATCCAACTTTGCGACTTGGTTCTGTTGCTCAGGTGAGAGTGCAGTGACACAGCCTCGACCTCCTGGGCTCGAGTGATTCCCCTGCCTGAGCATCTGGAGTAGCTGGGACTGCAAGTGTGCGTCACTTCTTTCTATCCAACTTCAACTTTTTCTGAACGTTACCCTGATTAAGCTAATTGAAGTCGTGTGTTTTCCAGAGTTGGCCAGCCCATCCAAGGGCTTAGGAGACAGTCTACACACTTCCCAACTTGAATTGGTCCCAGCTGCTCCCAGAAGAACGAGTGAATTGGTCCCTATGCCACCCCTGGAGAGCTGCTCGCTGCCCACTTGGCCGTGAAGGGCTGTGCGGTTCCCCTGCGCGCCAGAGCCTGCCGTGGCCTCTTATGCACTCCACCACCCCCATCAGCTCCCTCTTCTCCTTCACCAGCCCCGCAGTGAAGCGACTGCTAGGCTGGAAGCAAGGAGATGAAGAGGAAAAGTGGGCGGAGAAGGCGGTGGACTCCCTAGTGAAGAAGCTGAAGAAGAAGAAGGGAGCCATGGACGAGCTGGAGAGGGCGCTCAGCTGCCCGGGGCAGCCCAGCAAGTGCGTCACGATTCCGCGCTCCTTGGACGGGCGGCTGCAGGTGTCCCACCGCAAGGGGCTGCCCCACGTGATTTACTGCCGCGTGTGGCGCTGGCCGGATCTGCAGTCCCACCACGAGCTGAAGCCACTGGAGTGCTGTGAGTTCCCGTTTGGCTCCAAGCAGAAAGAGGTGTGCGTCAACCCTTACCACTACCGCCGCGTGGAGACTCCAGGTGGGCTGTCTTTATCGCGTCAGGGTTTATCTTCAGAGTGAAGGTCCTGTGGTCCTGTGCCCATTGATGGAGAACGATGGGGCACCAGCAGGCAAAGGCGTCTCCCCAAAGAGAGAGACGAAGGAGAGAGAGAGGAGAGAGAGAGAGAAAAGACAGAGAGAGAAAGAGAGAGGAGAGAGAAAGAGTGAGTTTTGAGGGACTGGTCCAAAATTTTATTTCCTGGAATGAGGCAAATGTCCAATCAAAGAAGGTTCCCATGAAAACAATATTCCTGCCTGGAATGCCACAGGAACTCAATCCAAAGGGAATAGAAGTAAAACCCTGTTATAGCCAGTGTGAAGGACTGAAGATAAACTCCAGACTAGTCGGAAAAATCTAGAAAGAACGTATTTTCATTTGATTCCAATATGCGTGTAAGCTTTGTGTGATTTTGAAAATGAGGCAGATGTCTAATCAAAGAGAGAAAACTCCCATAAAAGTTTTATTTGGAGGTATCTGGGACAAGTCAGTAGAATCTTTTACCAGTTCTTGGGGTCCTAAAAGGTTTTAAAATGCCCTCGATAATGATGAGCTACAAAAAATAAATATCTTCCTTCCCCCTGCCACCAATAAACGGAACTGAACCGCACTAAACTGAACTGAAGCCGGTTTTCTGGCTGCTACTTTGTTCAAGCCCAGGTAAGTAGAAGGTGTCTCATATCTGGGTCTGAAAACAGCCAATGAAAGAGTTGCTGGACATCATTCCAGGCAGTTGTTTTTTTTTAATGTTTTAAATACAGACAGGTATCACTTAATGATGGGAATACATTCTGAGAAATGCATCAGTAGGCAATTTCTTCCTTGTGCGAACATCCTGGAGTGTACTCACACAAACCTAGATGTGATAGCCTGCCACACTCTTAGGCTATACGGTGTAGCCTGTTGTTCCTAAAGTACTAGCCTGCGAAGCATGTTACTGTACTGAATACTGTAGGCAGTCCTAACCACAGTGGTACTGAATATATCTGAACAGATCTAAACGTAGAAGAGGTACAGCAAAAGTACAGTATCATAATCTTAGGGGACCACTGTCTTACATGTGGTCCCTCAACCAAAATGTGATTATGCAGTACATGACTGAATAGGAAAGTACCTTTCTAAAACCCTTCATGCACCAGTGTGTGTATCTGTATATATGTATATCCCTCCTCCTCTTGAAACCTGGTGTTTATTTTTGTTCCTTCACACTGGCTGTGACAGGGTTTCTGTGCGATTCTCTTTGAGTGTTTCTGTAGCATTCCACACAGGAACACAGTCTTAGGAGAGCCTTCTCTCTTTGATTGGCCATCTGCCTTACCCCAGGAAACCAAAGCACTGACATATTAGCTTAGGGAAATTGTCCATGTCCAATGAAGAGATGATCCTGTCTAGCCAGGTAGGCAGGATTAGTTTACCTTAAAACAGTATCTGGCAAGTGATTCATGCCCAGCCCACCTCAGTCACAGCTAAGTGATCTTTCAAGCTTGCAGAACTTAAGGAAGTCATCTACCTGTGTGTGGATGCCACCCACAGCCCATTCAGGGACTGAGGCCCTGGCTGAGAAGGTATTAGATGGTTCCACATGCTTGGCAAATCTGATGTGTTTTCTCTAAATCCTGGAGCGAGTTGCTTTCCTCCCTTCTTCCCTGCTTCACTTTGACTCTCTTTGCTTACTTAAAAAAAAAAGTCAATAATGTCTAAGCTTATAGCAAAAATGACTTGATTCCATTTTGTGTTTCAAAGATTTGAGTTACATTAAGCATCCAAAATATACCCAAATGGAAAAGTGTTCATTAAGAAATCACTTCTCTCTTCCTGAATAACATAGTTGTGAAATGTAACAACATGTAAGAAATATCTTATAAAATGTATCTGGTTTTCCTTTTGAATATTCAAAAGCCTATGTTTGAATAACTATTTGACATTTTAGTTTTTCTTTCTTTCTTTCTTTTTTTTTTTTTTTTTAAATAGAGTCTCGCTCTGTCACTAGGCAGAAGTGGTGAGATCTCGGCTCACTGCAGCCTCCACCTCCCAGGTTCAAGCAATTCTCCTGCCTCAGCCTCCCTAGTAGCTGGGACTATAGGTGCACGCCACCACACCCAGCTAATTTTTGTATTTTTAGTAGAGATGGAGTTTCACCATGTTGGCCAGGATGGTCTCAATCTCTTGACCTTGTGATCCGCCTGCTTCAGCCTCCCAAAGTGCTGGGATTACAGGTGTGAGCCACTGCGCCTGGCCCTTAGTTTTTCATGTTCTGTAAGGAATGATAGTGTGAATGTTTTACATATGGTAGATAGATTTCATTTTATCATAATTTAGGTGTGAATTTCCAGAAGGAAAGATGAGTAAAGATTATATTAATTTAAGGTAATATTTAAGCCACAGAGGTTTTTCTTACTCTTAACTTTGATTTTTTTAATAGAAAAAGTAGATTTTATATCCAGCTAGCTATCCATAAAGTAAATATTTTAAGAATAATAAAATGTTAATGTTAAACAAGTTTGCTGAGTTCCTATTTATCATAAAGCTTAAGTTTTGCCTTTGAAATCTCATTTATTGGCCATTCATTTAGATGCATTGAAGGCTACATTTCCATTTTCTCTTCATTCACACATCCACTTCAATAATCAATTTCAATGCTTTCCAAGTTATGTGTGGTGAGGGACCAGTTTTTATTTTTTAAATTCCTAGTCCTTCAACTGAATACTTTTAAAATACAGATGAATTACTAGGCAAATAAAATTCTAAAAAGACTTAGAAAATACAAGCCTAGTTTTAAAAATTATTTATTTCAACAAATAGAAACTCTATCACATTGCTGTGAAAAGTTTCTAAGCACTAATTTCTTCACAGACTGGCACCCAACAGTTGGTGAAGGGTCCCCAGTCCTCAGACCACACTTCACCTGGCACAGTTCTGGTGGAAGCCAAGAAAGACTATTGCTGTGGTACATGATGATTTTACTCCATTCGCCCTGACGTTATTTCAGGAGTATAATTTCTCCTTTACATAAAATATTCATATTATATCAAAATCACATGACTTAAAAAAAGAAAGACAAAAGGGTTTTTTTTCCAGATCTTCTTTGCACCCCCATGTACTCCGTAACTCCTTCTGCTGTTTCCCCCTGTGTAGCACTGAGATGTAAAGATAGCATGGTATTTAAAAGCGGCATAAAATAGGAATGAGTGTCTGTAAGCTCACTGTCATATTTACAAGCAGCAGTTGAGATGTGGAAGTGGAATTTAGTAATTAGGGATTGCTGTGTTTTGAGTGTAAGTATTTTAAAATATGATCAGTGCACATTTAAGGCAACTGAGCCAGCCAGGTCAAATAATACCTAGGATGAGACCATCAGTTTTCTTTGCAGACATCCACTGGCTTTGATTTTACCCAGATGGTAAAAATATATTATCTAGATATTTGTTATGATAAAGGAAAATGTATCCTTTCTTTTCTTTTGGTGCCTCAGATCTGCTGGTCATGAAGAAATAGAAGTCTCTGCATTCCGATGGTTAGGAGGCAGTGTATTTTTATCAGTGTTATACACGGTAGATATTTTACATTAAAACTGAAGTCACAGAGATTATTCAAATTTCTCATAAAAAATGAGTGTTTATTTGAACATTGTTAACATTGTGATGAAGTGTCATTGACAAAGAAGCCATAAGCATTTGCTGTGTCAGCTCCTCACTTCAGACTATTCATGAGGCACATCAGTTTTTTCTTGCCTGGTTGTGGAATATTAATACATTTTAGGAAATGTAATGGTTTATTATCCATGGCACTGTTTCATGGTGATGTTGAATGTTTGTTCTCTGGTGTCATAAGGCAGTATACGTGTGCAAACACTAGCTTGTAAAAGGGGACAAAATTATTTGTTTCTCTGCTACCCTCACCTGTAGCAGTTTTAGTTGAAAACCTTTCATTTACCCTTTAGAGTTTATTTTCTGTCCATATAACTGAAAATTATTGCTTGTTAAGGAAGAGATAGATGTATGATGTCAAAGGCAGATGGCAGACTTTGGGGTTAATGTCATTGTTACTGTAATTGTCTCTTTATTCCCAAACATTTACCTTTTTTTAAGACCTTATTTTTTAGAGCAGTTTTAGAACATTTATTTTTTATGCGTTTTTATTAATATTTGCATGTGGTCAACAAATCACTCATATGATTAGAACCAAGATCTGTTTCATTCATACCCAAAGACAAACTCTTTTAAACAATTCTTGCTTAGTTCTTTCGTATTTCTCTCTATTATTACTAAGAATTATGGCAGTAACTCTAGATAATATATAAATCCTTACATATCTGTTTCCACATTTATCACCTTTAGATAATGGCATTGACTCTCTACCATAAAAGATGAGGATTTCACTCACTTATATTATCTTCTTCCTTCCTGCTCTTCTCAGTCCTTGATAGCTGTATTTTACTTCATAGTTTGTATTTGTTTTTGGTTATTCCAGTGGTTTCCATAGTGGAATTCGGGGGTAAGAATTATCTGTCCTCAGAAGGGCATTGGTCTGTTGATTTCTAGTAGCCAGGGTTGAGTGGGAAGTCGAGGTCGGTTGATTCTCTTTTCTTTATAGATGGCTTTGCAGTGATCCTCGAGGAGCTTCTGGAATATTCCAGTTATCCCGCAGTGTTTGAAATTCAAGATGGAAAGACTCGGTCTGGATCTTTTTTCATTATTGAGCTTTGCTCACTCTGCGACTCCTTTCAATATGAAGACATAGGTCCTTTGTAGCTCTTTGAAGTTTTCTTTTGTTATTCTTTGACCACTTCTCCCTTGTGTCTTTTTTTTGCTTTTCTGTCTGGAACTTACATTGGCCACAGATGGCTCTTCAACAACATTTTTGGAGTAGCTACTTTATGCCAGGCATTGTCAACTTCTAGAGGTCAGTAGGACATGAGGGCTGGGGCAAAGCTTGCCCTTGAGAATTTGAATTTATTCCGAAATTGTAGAATGAAGAACAGTAACTAACGTCCTTTTTTTTTAAAAAAAAAAAAAAAAAAGGTGGCACCCAGAAAAAGCATACTAAAGTGAACAAACGTAATTTATATTGTCTTATTGATGTTTATCTTTTTTTTTTTTGACAGTCTTGCTCTTGTCTGCCATGCTGGAGTGCAGTGGTACAGTCTCGACTCACTGCAACCTCTGCCTCCTGAGTTCAAGCAATTCTCCTGCCTCAGCCTCCTGAGTAGCTGGGATTATGGGTGCCCGCCACCACACCTGATTAATTTCGAATTTTTAGTAGAGATGGGGTTTCACCACATTGGCCAGGCTGGTCTCAAACTCCTGACCTTGGGTGATTCCCCCTACCACTAGCCTTGGCCTCCCAAAATACTGGGATCACAGGCATGAGGCACTGCTACTGGCTGCTGCTTATCTTTTACTTATTCACTTTTAATATTATTCAGTGTTTGTATTTAACTTAATAACTTTTAATTACTCACCTTGAAATCTTTCCAGTAAGGACACATAGAATGTTTTTATTTCAGCAGCACTACTGAGCCTGAAATTGAGTCTAGTCATCTAAATAATTCAACATGATCTCTGAAGGAAAAATATTCTGAGCATCACTTAGGGTTTCATTGCAAGCAATAGAAACCGATTTTGCCTTGGGGAGAAAAAAAGACTTATTTGGCAGAATTAAAGAAAGATGTAACAATCAGGTTGCCAGAAGGCTGGGTATTAGGACAGCTCTAGTCATTTCCAAGGTAGGAATAAATAGCAGGTCTCTTCAGAGTGCTGACACTAGAAAGATCCTCCTCTAAATGTTTTTGTGAATTGTGACATTTTGCTTAAGGTTCAGGTTACAAGGAGAAGACTGCTGCCTTAGCTTGACTCACATGCTCACTTTCTAGGTGGAGATGGGAACTTAGTGGACCGTTCCATGATGAGCACAAAGACTAATGGGAGTAGTTCCCAAGGGGAAAAACAGCTCTATCATAAAAAAAAAAATAGATAAGAATGACAAGTATCCACTCTGTTATGTACTGATGAGCAGTGTTCAATTCTAACTGTCTTCTTCCCTTTTGATCCTAGTGCTGCCTCCTGTGCTTGTGCCAAGACACAGTGAATATAACCCCCAGCTCAGCCTCCTGGCCAAGTTCCGCAGCGCCTCCCTGCACAGTGAGCCACTCATGCCACACAACGCCACCTATCCTGACTCTTTCCAGCAGCCTCCGTGCTCTGCACTCCCTCCCTCTCCCAGCCACGCGTTCTCGCAGTCCCCGTGCATGGCCAGCTACCCTCACTCCCCGGGAAGTGCTTCTGAGCCAGAGAGTCCGTATCAGCATTCAGGTCAGTAAGAACTATGGTCTGTGGGGCAATATGGGAAAATAGGCCCAACATGATGATTTATGATGGACAGTCACAATGACAGTCATTGTAACTGTCAATCATATCGTGTCAACAGTTTACAAAGCAATCACCCCTAAAATGATTAGGGCTATACCCATTTTGAGGCAGTTACCGTGGAGATACAACATGTTTTTGCTATGAAAGCTCTGAAAGCTCTCAGAAACTAAATGGATTTGAATAGTATCCCTGGGAATTTCCAAAGAGTTTTTTAAGGCAGTAGAAATAAGATTAAAAGACTTCTTTAATCTAGGCAGAAGACTTGGCCTGAGGACAGGCAACATGGAAGAGAAGTCCTAAGCCTCTACCTTGGTTACCTCTTTCAACAATCAAAGGAAGTCCTTGCCTAAGACATACGCCTGCATCCCTTGAGTGAGGCAGAGTGAAGCTCCAGCTTTAGCCAGTACATTCTCCCTTTCTGCCATGTAAAGCCAGGACAGCATTTTAAATATAGAGCTCTTCAGTTTGCTGAACTGAGAAAGCATATGGAATGGAAAGGAAGCCTGTAGCATGCTGTCATGATTGCATTTGCGGCCATACCTGTAAAGCAGATCTAAGTTGAGATAATGAATAAAAGATACATATGTACCTCATGAGTATGAGACAAATCTTATGCAGAGCTGACAAGTTCTTAAAGGCATGCATAAATACATTTGGTGCCAGATGTTACAATCTGCCTCATTTATTTATTCCTGTAATCTTTTATTTAACAGCTATTTATTAAAATCTTACTACATGCAAGCATTGCCTTAGGATTGCTGAAGGAGGCATTAACAGGTTAATAAAAACTGTCCGTGTCCTCACAGAGCTTATAAAACGTGGGAAGATAAAGAGGGAATTGCCTTTTCCCCTCTGAGTTACTTAGTTCCTTTTGCCCCTCAGCAAGTTATGTAAGCATCTACTATAATATTTATTGTACTATATTGTATAATTCCTGTGTGATCTATTTTTTCCATTAGACAGTGAGTCTTTCTTTTTCTATGTCCAGCACAGAGCCTGAAATGCAGTGGTTGCTCATCAGTTGCTTATTTAATGAATTACCACACAAGTGTTTATTTATTTTTATTTATTTATCTATTTATTTTTGAGACGAGGTCTCACTCTGACACCTAGGTTGGAGTGCAGTGGCATGATCATGGCTCACTGCAGCCTCTGCCTCCTGGGTTCAAGCAATTCTTCCACCTTGGTCTCCTAAGTAGCTGGAATTACAGGGGCGCACCACCGTGCCCGGCTAATTTTTGGATTTTTAGTAGAGACAGGGTGTTACCGTGTTGGCTAGGCTGGTCTCAGACTCCAGACCTCAGGTGATCTGCCCGCCTCGGCCTTCCTAAGTGCTGGGATTACAGGCGTGAGCCAAGGCTCCCAGCCCACACAGGCATTTAGAACCTGGACATGGAGCTCCAGAGCATAGGCACAGGTTTTATGGACTCAGTAAGTGATGACTGAGCGATGCTAAGTATCCGGCACTGGGCCAGTGCTAGAGGTGCAATGATGATTAAAACAATGTAGTTGTCCCCCCTTATCTGAGGTTTCAATTACCTGAGGTCAGCTGCAGCCTGAAAATATTAAAAGGAAAATTCCAGAAAAAAACAATTCATAAATTTTAAATTGTATGTGGGAATGAAATCTTGTGCCATCCTGCCCAGGTTCTGTATTGTCCCTTTGCCCAGTTTATCTACGCTGTAGACACTATCCACCTGTGAGTCAATTAGTAGCTGTCTCTATGTGTTGAGGCATTACACTGCTTATGTTCAGGTCACTCTGATCTAATAGTGACCACAAAGAGCAAGAGTAGTGATGCTGGCATAGTGTTCTAATTGTTTTACTTTATTCTTAGTTACTGTTCCTAATCTCTTACTGTGTTTAATTTATAAATTAAACTTTATTGTAGGTATGTATGTATAGGAAAAAGCACAGTATATATGGCATTCTATACTATCCACAGTTTCAGGTATCCACTGGGGGTCTCGGACTGGATCTCTGGTGGAGAAGGAAGGACTGCTGTGGTCTCTTACCTTCAGGAGGCAGTAGCTATTGAGAGCAATCACATACAGGTAGCCTGTAGCAGTCCAGGCAAGTGATTATAAGGACCTGAACTAAAACAGGGATGTGGGGTTGGAAAGAGGGCAGTGAATTAGAGGAGGGGGATTCAACAGGACTTACTGTGGGGTGAAGGCAGAGACGCTGGAGGGTAGCTTGAGAGTTGTTCACTCAGTGTGGGAGCAGATGGTTGAAGTTTTGCAAGTGGCTGACTTCACTGAGAAGAAATACAACAGAAAGAGAAGTCATTTGAGGACAGAGCCTTGGTGAAGGGACAGGAAGATAATTATGTTGCAAAATATATATTTACATAACACACCTCCATGCTACAAAGACTTCCTGTGCTGACTTTGAATTCCTGCCCTGGTTACTCTGACAGGTTGATATTCATTTTCCTCTTCCTACCCATGCAGGACAGACCCCAACAATGCTGCAGAAGCTGGTTAGTTTCTCACTGAAGGCATAGCCCTTTTCATTTCAAAGAAAATAATTCTTGTCTGAATGATTAACAGCAAAATGCCAACCTGAATAACAAACCCATAGATTAAACAAGAGTAAAAGGAACTTTTGAGATATACTGGTTCAGCCTCTAAGATTTTTTAAAAAGCTCTATTGAGGTATAATTCACATACCATACAACTACCCATTTCAAGTGTATAATTCCATGGTTTTTCATATGTTAAATTTTTTCAAGTAGTGGTGAAATATATCTAACACAGAGTTTTCCACTTCAACCATTTTTAAGAGTACAACCTGGCCGGGTGAAGTGGCTCACACCTGTAATCCCAGCACTTTGGGAGGCTTAGACACGTGGATCCCTTGAGGTCAGCAGTCCAAGACCAGCCTGGCCAACATGGTGAAACTCGCTCTCTACTAAAAATACAAAAGTTAGCTGAGCATGATGGCGCACATCTGTAATTCCAGCTGCTCAGGAGGCTGAGGCATGAGAATCACTTGAACCCAGGAGTCAGAGGCTGCAGTGAGCCGAGATTGTGCCGCTGCACTCTAACCTGGGTGAGGGAGTGAGATCCTGTTTCAAAAAAAAAATAAAGGACAATCTGATGGCATTAGGCGCATTCATAATGTTGTGCAACCATCACCACTACCTATTTTCAAAAAATTTTCATCACCCTAAACAGAAACTCTGTACTGATTAAGCAGTAGCTCCCCATTTGCCCACTTCCCCAGCCCCTGGTAAGTTCTAATCTACTTTCTGTCTCTATGAATTTGCCTGTTGCAGGTGCCTCATATACTAGATTCATACAATAGTTCCCCTTTTGTGTCTGTCTTATTTCACTTAGCAAAGTGTTTTCACAGTGTAGTGGCATACGGCAGTAGTTCATTTTTGTGACTGAACGATATCGGCTATACCACATTTAAAAAAATCAATCCATTGGATTTTTGGATTGTTCCCACCTTTCGGCTCTAGTAAATAACACTCTGCTTTCAATTACTTTGGGGATTTACCTAGGAGTGGAAGTGCTAGAGCATATAGTAATTCTATTTTCAGTCCCACTTTTTTTACTTTTAACTTTTTAGAGACAGGGTCTTGTTTTGTTATCCAGGCTGGAGTATGGTGATACAGTCATAGCTCACTGTATCACTTCAAAGTCCTGGGTTCAAGTGATTCTCCCACCACAGCCTCTGAGTAGCTAGGATTACAGGTACACATCACCATCCCCAGCCAATTTTTAATTTTTTTTTTGTAGGATGGGGTCTCATCATGCTGCCCAGGCTGGCCTCAAACTTCTGGACTCAAGTGTTTCTCCCACTTCAGCCTCCCAAAGTGCTAAGATTATAGGTGTGAGCCATGGTACTTAGCATGTTCTGCCCCTTGAGTAAATCGACATACTTAGTCAAAGACCTGCAAAAAGGCCATCTTGCTTTATAACTTTTCACCAGAGTGATAGGAGTCATAGTCCATTTTCTCACAAGGACATAGCTTATCCATGGTTTCCTAGTATGGTCCACAAACCCCTGCATTAGAATTGCCACCATTGCATGTTAAAATGTACTTGGCTACATTTAGCTACTGACCTGTTGAATCAGAATTGCTAAGGATGGGGCCAGGAATCTGCATTTTTAGCAAGCCCCGCTGGCAATTTTTGTGCACACTTAAGTGTGAGAACTACTTGTATGGACAATTTGATACAACAAAGGAAGATCGATCCAACTTTTTTGCTGTTATATTCTGCCACAGGTGTAACAAAACCATTCTGAACTAACATTAGACATGTATACTGACAGAATCAGTTGTTTTGTGCTGAGGTCCTCCATAAAGAGTTTTCTCATGAGTTTTTATTGTGTAATGAATTACTTCCTGATAAGCTATTATCCACGAATTCATCCAATTTGCCTAACCATGATCACTGTCCAGTCACAGAACTGCCATTTGGGTAGAAGGGCCCTTCTCAGCCTGCTTTGGGCACAAAGTTATAATCACGTTTCAGCTATTCTGTGTTTTGGGGGCATATCCTGAAGTATCTCAGGGATAGAGCATCCCCGTGTCCATTGTACAATTCATGGCAACATAGAAGCTGAAAATTAGGCTCATTTCAGGGAAGGTCTAGTTTTCTCTGTGGTTTGCAAGCCAGATCACAGACTATTCTGCTATGAGGAAAGTTGGGAGAAGAGGTCTTGCATTTCAAAGTCTTGCCATGAAGTCATTAGGACTTAATAATATAACTCAAAAGTCAGAGGGAAAATGAACTGACCCTTTAGAGAGGCTCTCAGAACAACCAGTTGCTTTCATAGGGCACTCACAATGTCACTTCGGGAGAGCCTTGTTACATTAACATGGTCTCTCTGTAGGAGTAGCACTGTTCACCAAGCCCAGGAGTTTAATGGCAAAAGATGTCGGATCCAGCCGTCTTTGTGTGGTTTATTGATTTGACAATTCCTTTGTTCTACTGCTTTCTTTTAGTTGACACACCACCCCTGCCTTATCATGCCACAGAAGCCTCTGAGACCCAGAGTGGCCAACCTGTAGATGCCACAGCTGATAGACATTTAGTGCTATCGATACCAAATGGAGGTAAATTGTAGATGAACAGTGAAATGTAGCTATTTTCCAAAGTATTTCCTATTAACCCCAAACAAAGCAACTCAAAAAACAAAACCAGAAATGTATTGATTGGCCTGCTGTTTGGCATGTGTTTTAAGAGGCAAATGGCATGGCTTTGCGGTTTTTTTTTCGCCTGGGTACAGGTGGGCTGAGGCCAAAAAGGATGTCAGCCTTTTTTTTATTTTTATTTTTTCATGGCTTTGCATTTTAACTTTGACATTCCTCAGTACCGCAGAATTAATGTTTTGTTTATCATCTTCATTACCAGAATAAGTTAACTTTTTATTTTAACTTCACATTTAGCAGTTTGTAGTTTTTTTTTTTTTTTTTTTTTTTGAGCTGGGCTGGAGTGCAGTGGCAAGATCTCCACTCACTGCAACCTCCTCCTCCTACGTTAAAGTGATTCTCCTGCCTCAGCCTCCTGGGTAGCTGGGACTACAGGTGTGCACCACCACGCCCAGCTAATTTTTTGTGTTTTTGGTAGAGACAGGGTTTTGCCAACGTTGGACGGGATGGCCTCTATCTCTTGACCTCGTGATCCACCCGCCTTGGCCTCCCAAAGTGCTGGGATTATGTGAGCCACCGTGCCTGGCCAGAAGTTTGTAGTTCTTGATGTTTAGTATGGAATTGGGAACTCAAGAAGTTAGGGATTTTATTCTATTTGTGTTTTTACTATATGTTTACAGTGGTGTCGTTCGTTTGACCAGAGAGGTACTCTTAGAAATATACATAAATGGGGTTTTTACAAAATTTTATTTGCATCTTATAATAGTCTAGTGTTGCTTGACTTTAATGTTTGTATAAACCACATTGTGATCTTGCATAAATGCACATTTTGATTCCTTAGATCTTAGGGTGGGGTCCAAGAATCTGTATTGTTAAGCTCCCATGTGATGCAGAGGCTACTGTTCCATGAGCCACATCTTGAATAGAGAGGTTCTGAAGAAGTTTACCATTTGAAGTACTCCAAGTGAATATTTTTATAAGCTAAGATCCTTTTGTAAGAGAGATAATAACCCCCAAATTTATCCATTTCATAAATTTATATTTAGTGCATATAGGAACATATTCTAGATGCAAGAATAATGAGGATGTTCAAGGAAGAGAAAGATAATCTGATCAATGGACAGACAGAGAAAGGGTGTGGGTGGCAAAGAAAGAAGGAACTCTGAACTTTGATTGGTTACAGGAAAGTGACTTAACTTTAGGTTGGGTGTGAAAACACTCATCGGTTTCCTAATGAAATGTCCCGCTGTCTTTAAATGTTTTTTTTTTTTTTTTTTTTTTCATGCGTAACTAGATATTCCACAGAGCAGAATGTGAGCCCCTCTATGTGGAAGTTTTTTTCCCCTAAATAATTTAATGTCTTATTCAGCATTATTGATTTGCTTTTTTATCATAGCCAAACTGTTATTTTCCATCTCTAGTTTGTTGGAAAATGATACTTTTTGCCACAAGGATTCAAGAGGGCACAATAACAGCGAAATGCCATCTCTCACATGTTTCTGAAAGAAGAGGTGACCTGCCGGCTTCCTTTTAGCTGTGCTTGCTTTAGGGTTGACAGGTTTTTTTATGTCCATCTGTTCGTGTCATGTTTCCCTGACCCCTTCATTACCAATACATGTGTTTATAAATACTCTAGCCGTGGAAGATGAATGAGGACCCTGGACTAGACATCTCAGGTAGGCTGGTGAAATAAGCCAGCCCCAAGCAGATCCCATGAGAGCTACAGGTTCTCAAAGGTTGCAAAGCAGCATACTTGTGTTGCAGCCAACTTTGTGGTTAAAAGCATTAACTAAGTTTCCTGGTGAAATCATGAGCTACACAGCCCAGGTATGACAGTAGCCATGTGCTATCTGGTTTGTTTTCTTCCAGATTTTCGGCCAGTTTGTTATGAGGAGCCCCAGCACTGGTGCTCGGTCGCCTACTACGAACTGAACAACCGAGTTGGGGAGACATTCCAGGCTTCCTCCCGAAGTGTGCTCATAGATGGGTTCACCGACCCTTCAAATAACAGGAACAGATTCTGTCTTGGACTTCTTTCTAATGTCAACAGAAACTCAACGATAGAAAATACCAGGAGACACATAGGAAAGGGTAAGAGCACAGATGTCATTCCATTAGTCATCTAGCTAAAATGTCAATGGTCATGTATGTAGAAATGCACCTGACCATCTTCACATATCAGTCACCTGCCCCTGTGGAAGGGCCCCAGGGCTGGTGAGCTCTGAGATAGCTCTGACATTACCGTGGGGGAAAGCACATGGGTTGTCAGGATCTTAGTCCCTCTGCCTCTAAAGTCATCATGCCGCCTTCTAGGGGTGGGTGGCATGGAGTGGGGATGGTGAAGGCAAGCAAGATGATAAAAATGAAAAAAGCAGGGTGAAATTATTGAATAGAACTACTATGCATTATTTTTGATTTGCCTAAAACTTGCCAACTGGGATCATTTCTGAAGAAGAGGAATTCTGACTGGGTGATGATTTGTATCAGGTAAAGTTCCCTTTGGAGGCTTAGCAGCTAGGTAGTTACAAAGAATGACTGATATATGTCTGGAAGCCTTTGGCATGTGATTGGGGTTCTCGTGCGTGCAGGTATATAGCAGCTGATTGGGCACAAGTCACACTGGTCTCTGTTCTGACCAGTGATGCTTTTGAAGCCCATCTCATTGGTGTGAGTGTTGGTAGCAAATCTCAGCTGAGTGTGTGGTCTGGCTGAGGATCTTTAAATTATTTTTTTTTTTATATCAGAATAGGTGGTATCTCAGAGTGATACCATGGAGTCCCAGATGCAGAGAACCTTCGGTCATTTGACCTTTTCTCTCTCCATCCAGCACTTAAACCACCTCAGGAAAGTAGCCTGAGCCTTTTCTTTCAAATTTCCAGGGGAGATTCATTGTTTCCCTTGGTGATGCATTGTAATATTCTTCCCAACGCACCTTCAAAATGTCTCCTGTTGGAGTAAACCTAAAAGCCATTGTTTAGAAACAGGCTGAAATTATTCATTGATGTTGACTCTTAATGGAGACAGTTACTTTATGTTTATTTATATTCTGTCTCCATGGTGGCTTTGAGGCAACTTACAAGAAACCATTGCAGTGAAATGATAAACGAAAAATAGAAAATTAGAAAGGGGGGTTGGGGGAGGGTAGAAGAATCCAGATATGTCATCGATAAGGATTAACTCTGTTAACCAAGCTAAGCAGGGTTGAGCATGGTTAGTACATGGATGGGAGAATGCCTGTCCTCCTGGGAATGCAGCCCTGTAGGTCTTAGCCTTATTATACCTAACCCCTATTCAAGATGGAGTTGCTCTGGTTCAAACAGCTTTGACATAGAGAGCTAGAGAAGATGGTGGTGATTTTGCTCTAGGTTTCCTGACAGGGAGGGAAGAATTGAAAAACTCACTCTGGAATGTAATTTTTATCCCAAAGTGGGAAACATAACCATTCCTCAAAGGAAATAATATTTTGAATGAATTCCTAAACAAGTTTCTTGAGCATGCCTTTACTTTCAGATGATTTTTAAAAGAACCTTTAGTGAAATCTCAAGACAAAACATTAACACATAACGTTGTGAAGCAGTTTGCTAAGGAGCTTGGCAGATTGGTCTGCATATTCAACATCTGCTGGTGCCAGTGGATCCAAAGACAGGATTAAAATATTAAAGGAGTGCTGAACGTGTTTTAGGAACCTGTCTGCAAGTTGCTTCTTCAAGGTGCTCCTGCTGAGGACATGGAAAGTCTGTGTAGTCTATTTTTGTTGTTATAAAGGAATACCTAAGACTGGGTAATTTATAAAGAAAAGAGGCTTATTTGCCTTGTGGGTCTGCAGGCTGCACTACAACATATGTGCTGGCATGTGCTTCTGGTGAGGGCTTTAGGAAGCTTCTAATCATTGCGTAAGGCAAAGGAGAGGCTGTGTGTCACCTGGGAGGAGACAGAGAGAGAAGGGAGGGAGGTTCTGGGCTCTTTTTAACAAACAAATCTGACAGGAACTAATAGAATGAGAATTCGCTTATGATCTCAAGGAGGGCAGCAAGCAGATCATGAGGGATCCTCCTGCATGACCCAGACACCTCCCACGGAGCCCTACCTCCAGAATTGGGAATCAGATTTAGATGTGAGATTTGGAGGAGTCAGATATCCCAATTATATCAGTAACTACTGTGTTGTTAACTGAGAGCTCATCCTGAGGGTTAAGAAGCCACGTGAGCAAAAGCCAGGACTGATTACCTGTTCCCCAAACTGGAGCACCTAATAGTGCTCCCCTTGATTCAAGTCAAGGGTACTCATGGTCACATGGTCCCAAGGCAGAGTTACAGTTTTCTCAGAGCTGCTTAGGAATTACTCCAATGTGGAAAAAAAAAATTTCTTAGACAAGCTACAAGTTTTGCCATAAAGCCTGGCAGGGAAAAAAGTGTTGGCTCGGGAGATTTTAAAGCAAGGGCAGTCGTTTTTCTGTGAGATCACAGGAGTCTCTCTCGGATGCTGCCATGGGTTATCTGGTTCTGAGCAGCATGGCTTCCCAGAGCACCAGCCTGAATAAGTTAGCCACAAAATGCACTCCTAGGCTATCGAATGAGTTAACTTGCTCTGTGAAATTAATTAATTAGATTTAGTGATATGCATTAGATTTTAGTGATATGCATTCATCTCACAAATATTTACTGAGCACTGACATTAGATTTTAGTGACATGTATTCATCTCACAAATATTTACTGAGCACTGATTCTCAGCCAGACTGGACACTGGGGATGCAGCAGTGGAAAAAAGACAACATCCAGATTTCATGGATTACTTGCTGCTAAGGGAAAGACAGACAAGAAATTCAACATGCAGGATGTCCAATAGAGAAACGCAAAGCAGGGGAAGAGAATGGAGACTTTAAACCAGTGTAACCAGGGAAGGCCTTCCTGAGAAAGTGACATTTCAGCAGGAGTTACCAGAAAGGTATCCCGATCCAGACCCAAGAGAAACTTCTTGGACCTCACACAAGAAAGAATTTGGGGTGAATCCATAGAGTACACTGAAAGCAAGTTCATTAGAGAAGTAAAGAAATAAAAGAATGGCTACTCCACAGGCAGAGAAGCTGCATGAGCTGCTCGACTGATAATACTTAAAATTATTTCTTGATTTTATGCTAAACAAAGGGTGGATTTTTCATGAGTTTTCTGGGAAAGGGCTGGAGATTTCCCAGAACTGAGGGTTCATTCCCTTTTTAGACCATATAGGGTAACTTCCGGGCATGGCCATGGCATCTGTAAACTGTCGTGATGGTGGTGGGAGTGTCTTTTCACATGCAAATGCATTATAATTAGCGTATAATGAGCATTGAGGATGACCAGAGGTCACTTTTATCACCGTCTTGGTTTTGGTGCATTTTGGCTGGCTTCTTTATGGCACTCTGTTTTGCCATCAGGGTCTTTGTGACCTGTATCTTGTGCAACCTCCTGTGTTATCCTGCGACCAAGAATGCCCACCGTCCTAGGAATGCAGCCCAGTAGGTCTCCCTCTTGAGGCCATTTTAAGGGCTTTGGTTTTTACTCTGTGGGAAATGGGAAGGTAGATTTAGGTTGAGGAGTTTATGTTGTAAACCAAAAAGTATCTGAGACAAGTCTCAATCAATTGATTTATTTTTATTTTATTTTATTTTTGAGATGGAGTTTTGCTCTTGTTGCCCAGGCTGGAGGGCAATGGCACAATCTTGTCTCACTCCAACCTCCACCTCTCAGGTTCAATTGATTCTCCTGCCTCAGCCTCCTGAGTAGCTGGGTTACAGGTGCCCACCACACACCCAGCTAATTTTTGTATTTTTAATAGGGACGGGGTTTCACCATGTTAGCCAGGCTGGTCTCGAACTCCTGATCTGCCTACCTTGGCCTCCCAAAGTATTGGGATTACAGCTATGAGCCACTGCACCCAGCAGAGGTCTCAATCAATTTAGAAAGTTTGTTTTGCAAGGTTAAGGATATGCCAGTGATGTGGCCTCAGGAGGTCCTGGCGGCATGAGCCTAAGGTGGCCGGGCTATACCTTGCTTTTATACATTTTAGAGAGACATAATACATCAGTCAAGGCATGTAAGATTTACATTGCATAGATCTGGAAGGGTAGGACTACTTAAAGGAGGGGCTGGCTTCCAGGTCATAGGTAGATTTAAACATATTCTGATTGGCAATTGGTTGAAAGAGTTATTATCAATAGAAAGGAATGTCTGGATTTCATAAGGAGTTGTGGAGACCTAGGTTTTATCATGCAGATGAAGCACCCCAGGTAGCGGGCTTTAGAGAAAGTGGACTGTAAATGTTCGTTATCAGACTCTAGCTCTGTGTTGATGTCTATGCTGGAAAGATATAATGAGGCATGTCCAACCCCTACTTTCCCTCATGGCCTGAACCAGTCTTTGAGGTTAAATTTTAGAGCACCCTGGCTGAGGTGGTGATCCATTCAACTGGTTGTGGGAGCTTAAAATTTTATTTTTGGTTTACAATATGATCTGAGTTTACACTTTAAAAAGATCCCCTGGCTGTTCTTTTGAGATTAATTAGACCGTGATGGGCAAGGATGGAAGACATCTTTTTTTTTTTTTTTTTTTTTTTTTGAGATGGCAGTCTTGCTCTGTCGCCCCCGCTGGAGTGCAGTGGTGTGATCTAGGTTCACTGCAACCTCCGCCTCCTGGGTTCAAGTGATTCTCCTGGTCTCAGCCTCCCAAGTAGCTGGGATTACCGGTGCATGCCAACACACGTAGCTAATTTTGAATTTTAATAGAGACAGTGTTTCACTATGTTGGCCAGGCTGGTCTCAAACTCCTGACCTCAGGTGATCTGTCCACCTTCACCTCTCAAAGTGCTGAGATTACAGGTGTGAGCCACTGCACCTGGCCTGAAGATATCATTAAAAACTTTTTTGAAAATTATAGGTAATGTTAAAAACATGCACTTTGAATGAAGAGCCTCTTAAGCAGGCTTTGTGTGAGCAACATGGCTGTTTATTCACCTGGGTGCAGGTGGGCTAAGGCCAAAAAGGGCGTTAGTGAAGGGTGGTGGGATAGGAGTTGGTTTTATAGGTTTGGGGAAAGTTTTTGGGGAGGGGGCAGGG